CAGGCCTCATCACACCATGCATCCCTGCAATGTTGTGTATTGATTTTACCTGAAAAGAACCCACTACCCAGTAGCTAAGGAAAAAAGCCCTTTCTGTGAGTACAGAAGAATCTCTACAAGTCAAATTGGAGAAAAATTGAATCTAAGCAGAGCACAGTTTCTGCAGTTGAGCTTGCATCATGTTGATAACGATGACATGATACTAAGCATTAGGAGTAAACAAAGCACCCTGTAAATTAGTCCACATTAATTTGAAGAGGCAGGGACTTTTTGGATGGAAGGCAAAAGCCACCCGTATTTGAGAATGGAAATGTAGATCAGAAAATACCATCCTATTTTCATGGAGTGGCACCACATGAATGTGACCAGCCTGTTACCAGCCTGTCTTTCTGCTGTGATGAATATGCACTGAATTGTACCACAGTATCAAAACATGCAGAGTAATGAGTCTCTCAAAGATGTGAAACACTAGGCCTCAACCCATCCTGCAACCAGACAATGTTTAACAGGGTCTGCAAGCCATTCTGTCCATCTGCCCACAGCAACTCTGTCTCATTAGGTCCTGCACTGAACTTTTCCTTGGGTCTGCATTAGTTACACAGCAGTTCTCATAACACAGTGGCAGAGGTCATGCAGAGTCAAGCCAGCCTGCCTGGCTTCACAATGCTCATTCAAACAGCCTGGAGGGAGGAAGAAATGACTGCCCACCTTCTTAACTTCACATCACTGCATTTGATGCAAAGGGTAGGAGTGCACATATGACAGAGCTGACCACCATGCAGCCTGCAGACCAAACGCTTCTCAGCTCTGCAACACAATCCCTGTCTGACTTGTTATCAGTAGAGAGAAACTACGCCAAGCAAAGATCCTAGTAGGCTTTGTCAGACCAAGCAGTACTCCACACAGCTCCAGCCTGCACTAGTTAGGCCCTGCCCTAAGCCTTGCAGTGGGATGCCAATGCAGACCTTGGCTAGACAAGGCTGCCAAAGAGACAATGTTGCCCAACCAGACACATTAGAGTTTAAAAGAACTCAATTTTGCATAAAGCCATGGATATGTCAGGTTCTCTGTCCCTGCTCTGTAAATACAACACTGGTTATTGTCAGGATGTACAGCCAGTGGACACCAGACACTAATGCACTATCACCCCTGACAGGCAGCTGATCAATAAATAGTGCAAGTATCAGCAACAAGTTTGATGGCTGAGGGGTCCAGGAAGGTTTCAGATGCTTTTTAAGAATGGCTTCCCTTCAGCATTTAACAGCCATATCTATCCTTAATTTTGAAGATGGGCAGATCAGCAGGCCTGTCAGATGGTTTCTAGGCAGATCAGCAGTGAGTTCAATAAAAAGACACCAAAAGCTAAGATGATACTTCATCTACACAGATGATCAGATAGTCAAAAGCACCCATGCTGGCCAACAATGTTAAGGATTTTGAGCAAAGCCTAGCTTCACAGATCTCACTTCAGCACTCTTCTCATACTGTCCAGCACTCAGAAGGAACAGTGCTTTCCTAGGACACCGTCCAGTCTGAACAGGATGAAAAAATATTTCATGCAGTGTGTGCACTTCAAATCAAGCAAGGTACCTTCTCTTCTCTACTTGCTTTCAGCAGGGGATCATGTTTCAAAACACTATTTTTTTAAATATAGGTTCAGTGGCAGGTCACAATGACCCCTATAACCTGAGAAAACAAACTTTTACTTCAGCCCTCTGAATGTGGAAAAGACTGACAGTTGCACCTACCCCTGAGACCATGTGCAACTGAAAGCTTTTAGCCTGGAAAGAAGAAACAAGAGGTGCTGAGATGCTGAGGTTATTCTGTATTTTGTGCTGATTTCAACATGGGTACCAGTTAATTTTCTTCACAGTAGCTACTATGGGGCTATTATTTGGATTGTGCTGGAAACAGTGTTGATAACACTCGGATATTTTAGGCATTGCTGAGCAGCGCTCACATAGGGTAAAGGCCTTTTCTGCTCCCTACCCCACCAGTGAGGAGGCTGGAGGGGCACAAGAATTTCGGAGGGGACATATATGGGACAGCTGACCCCAACTGACCACAGGAACATTCCATATCTTCTGGTGTCATGCTCAGCATATAAAGCTGGGGAAAGAAGAAGGACAGGGGATGCTGTTTGGAGTGATGATGTTTATCTTCTCCAGTAACCAATAGGTGTGATGGATTCCTCCCTGTTTTCCTGAGGATGGTCAAACATCTGCCTGCCCATGGAAAATGGTGGATGAATTTGTTGTTTTGCTTTGCTTGTGTGCATGCCTTTAGCTTTACTTACAAAACTGTCTTTACCTCAATATACAAGTTCTCTTGCTTTTACTCTTCTGACTCTCTCCCCCATCCTGATGTGCGAGAAGAGTGAGTTGTGAGGGGTTTAGTTGTCAACTGGGTTTAAGACACATCATCTTTAAAGTACAGGATGGTAGGGAGAGGGACAGGACAAATGGTAACTGTAATGGGACAAAACAACAGTATTGCCCAGAACCATGTTACCCAAGTAAATTAGTATGATAAAAAGACTTGCAAGGATTCTTGCAGTCCCTACTTGCAAAGTACAGAACAAGAACTACAAAGCAGAGGAAAACAGCAAAAATGCTGTGCCAGACTTGTTATGTCCCACCTTAGACTGATGGCAACATTTCCATGCACATGGAAAAATCCTACACACCCAGTCACAGCAACAGCTCCTCACATACACAAGGTTTCACTGTGAGCTCCTTTAGCTGGAAAAGAACTGCAACCCTGAAGCACAGGTTCAGAGTATTCTATTAATATGAGTGTAAAAGCCCTTTGTGAAAATTTTCTAATTCTTGGGTGCTGAAGCAAACCTGTTTTCTAAGCTTACTATTACTGCTGCATAACACAACATCCTGTACTGAGACAACAGGGTTGGACCAGACAACCTCTTTGGATTCTGCTTGGTTCGTGTCCACGCAAACATGCATGTATGTGCAAATTCCATTCTTCCACTATCATTATGGAGTTTCTAGAAAATACTTAGGAGTATTTTTTTGTCTGCCAACAGCTTTTTCAAACTTGCTACTCTCACTGTTATGCTGACAATATCATGAATAGAGGGCCATTCTTGTCACATTTGTTGCCTGTGCTTGATAAGAACACAAACAATAAGTAGGGTGTGCCACAAGCCCACATTAGCTTGTAAGGACAGTTTTTTGCCCCACCACAAAGGTTGTAAGCCAAAGAATCAACTAACCAAGAAAACCCAAACCAAATCAAGCTAAGAATATTTTCACAATTTGTCAACACTCCCACAAGTAAGAGAAATGTTTTTCTTGCCACTGAGGGAGAATTTGTTTTTGTAGACCTTGTAGAACTTTTCTGTTCTCAGGGCAATTATTGTGTTCTCAGCTTCTTGCAAGCACTAGCTGCAACGAGGAACTGAGGATTCAGATACATCAACTCTAAACAATGTATGGTTTGATATATTGGAAATCTCAGTAGCACTTCAGTGCTAACATGAACCTGTCAATAACCTCTCGTCACCTGCTGCCAAGAGGAACTGTGCAAGTATTTCATTACAGTTCTTTCCACCTCTCCAAACATTTCATATCCCTGTCTCACACAATCAGACCGAGATGGAATTTGCTTACTCCAGGTGCCAAAGGGAATCAGCATCTTGAGTGAGTGAGCACATTATCCAGCTTTCACTTTAATGCCAAGGTGAACTGTGTTTCAACAGGTCCCAAGTCACAAATAACAACACAGCTTCAAGCAGAGACTGAGGCAGACTGAGGAGTAAGGGGAGGGGAACACACAAGAGAACCTCTCTCAGGTGGGAAACAGAAGCGGACAAACACATTCCAGAGTTCTGTGGCAGGCAGCTGGGGCACAACATATACACAAGCAAGCCTGTGGCATCAAAACAAAGCAGCTACATACTCGTAAGGTGTCTTGAACTACTTGATGATGGTCTAGCCTCTCCCATGGCTGCCAGCCAGCTGGCCTTCCTTCCCAGCTCATTTCAGAAGCTACCAAGAGCCCAGGACCATTCTACCCATGCCCATTTAGGCATCTGCCAAGTCCCACGAGCCTGTACACTTCCTCCTCGCAAAGGTTCCCCAGGGCCCCATGTAGTAGTGTAACCATTATGCCAGGCTCTTCAGAGCTCATTAATTGAGTATAATTGTGTCTGCGAAGTGAAAAAACATCCTGATATGAAAAACACATGTCCTGGCACGGGCAAAGCAGAGGGTAACAAACCCTCCCAGATTGCTTTCCTTATGGAAAGAATTTCATGTGAACAAGACTATTTTAGATTTTGAATCTGACACAGGCGTTTCTTCGCAAAACACCTGGACTTTTCACACGATTGAGCATCTCCTTAACTGCATCTTAGCGTCGAGGGCAACGGCTAATAAAAACAGCCTCAGATAAGGTCCTGCAGCCTCGCACCGCGTGTAACTTCACACCCCAGCCCATGCAGCTCTCCCGTCCCTGCGGAGCATCGCTCCCCGCCCGGGCTGTGCAACAAACACCGCCCTTTTCCTCTCCTATTTTCTAAATCTCAGTTAAAAGCCCAGCCACCCTCAGCACCTCCCGTTGCTCCCACCAGGTTCCCCGGTCCCTCCGCCGCTTCCCACCGCTCCCAGGGGCGCTCCTGCGCGGGGGAACACCCAGGGATGCTCCGGGAGGAGCAACGCCTGCAAGCGCGGCAGGAGCGGAGCCGCCCGCCCGCCCCCGCCCGCTCCTCGCCGCCGCTACCGACGGGGGCACCCCTGGGGAGGAGGATGAGGATGGGGGCGGCAGGATGAAGGGCCGCACGGGTGCCCCGGGATGACACAGCAGCGGCCCGGGGGGTGAAGGGCCGGGGATGGCGGCAGCGCTCCCCGGGCTCCCCGTTATGTAACGGCGGCCCCGCCGCCCCCGCAGCGCCGGCCCCGCGGGTGCGGGGTGTGCGCGGCCCTCCGCGCCGGGGCCGTGTCCGCTCGGGCTCAGCGCGGCCCCGCCTGCCCGCCCCTCACCAGCGGCTGCATCTCCAGCGCGCACGGCGGGCACCTGGAACCGGCCCATCTCCTCCATCATGGTGGCGGCGGCGCCGGGCGCGGCGGGCGGAGCGCGGGCAGGGAGGAGGGCGGGCGGGGGGGCGCGGGCGGCTCTTCAGGCGCCGGGGACGGCACGGCAGCGACGGCGACAATGACAATGACAACGACACCGCCCGCGGCTGCTGCTGCCTCATCGCCGCCGCCGTGACTCAGCCGCGCCGCTTCCGGGTCCGGCCGCCACCCCGCCCCGCTCCAGAATATTCATGAGGGGGGCGGGACCACAGACACAGTCGGGGCCCGGATGGTGGGCCACGAGACCGCGCGCTTTTGAAATTCATGACATGGGTGGGGCCGCTGTCAATAGTTTGGGGGCGGATGCTGCGCTCCCTGAGGCACTTCCCCATCTGGAATTTAGATGAAGTGGGAGGGGAGATCTCCAGTTCGAGGTCCATATTCTCCGGGGCCCCGCCCCTTGTTTACATATTCATGAGGCGGACGGGGGCGCTACCGCAGTGGTCTGGCGGTGGCGCTCATGTAGCCCCGCCCTATTTGAATATTCATGAGGTGGGCGGGGCCGCAGTGACAGTTCGGGGCCCGGATGATCGGTGTCCCGCGGCCGCCGGGACATACCATTCCCTCCCTCGGGGGGAGCGTGGGGGGTGTCTGGGAAATCGCCTGGTCCGCTCGCCGCTTCCGGCGTGTTGCCATGGCTGCCGCGGTCAACTTCCGGCGGGCCGGGCGGGCGCGGTAAGAGTTGGCCGTGAGAGGTTGTAAGGGGAGGCGGGGGCCACTGCGGTAAGAAGAGGCCATGCCCGCCAAGGCGGCCGACAAGCGCCGGCAGGTAAGGGATTGCCGCCGCACTCCCGTGGAGACAGCGCCACCGTGACGTCACCTTCGGTGCCGTGACGTCACCCGCCCGAATGACGTCACTGCAGAGCCTCCTGCAGCGGGGTCGGCGGCCCACAGGAGGGAGCTGCACTGTGCAGCCCCGCCGTGGCCGTGCGACCCTGGGCTCCTGCTCTGAGCGCTGCCCCTGCTGTGATCCCAGCGGTGACGTCACTGTCCCCGGAGCTGCCGCAAGTGACGTCACCGCGTACAGCCCAGACCGCTTCCCTGTGGGCTCACAGAGTCACAGAATTGTCGGAGTTGGAAGGAACCTGTGGAAATCAGGTCATCCAGTCCAGCCTCCCTGCCAAGGCAGCGTCACCTGGCGTGGGTGACGTAGGAATGTGTCCATGTGGGCTTGGAATGTCTCCAGACAAGGAGACTCCACGACCTCTCTGGGCAGCCTGTTCCAGTGCTCTGCCACCCTCCACACAAAAAAGTTCTTCCTTTCGTTGAGGTGGAACTTCTTGTGTTTTAGTTTATGGCCATTGCTCCTCATCCTGTCGCTGGGCACCATCCTCTTGGCACCTGCCTTTGAGATATTTATATGAACCGATGAGATCCCCTCCCAGTCTTCTCTTCTCCAGACTAACCAGCCCCAGCTCCTGCAGTCTTTCCTCATAAGAGAGATGCCCCAGACCCCTCATCATCATTGTGGCCTCTACTGGACCCTCTCCAGTAGTTTCTTGTCTTTCTTGTCCTAAGGAGCTCAGAACTGGACACAGAACTTCGGATGTGGCCTCACTAGGGTGAAGTAGAGGGGCAGGATCACCTCCCTTGACCTGCTGGTCACACTGCTCCTGATGTACCCCAGGATCCCATTCTCCTTCCTGGCTGCCAGGACACACAGCTGGCTCATGGTCAACTTGTTACCCACTAAGACTCCCAAGTCCTTCTCTGCAGAGCTGAGAGGTTGAACTGAGAGCTGAGGTTGTCCCACTGAGCTGTAATCCCCAGGTCTGGGTGCAGCAGCAGGGTCAGCACAGGCCCCCTTGGCCTGCTGGCTGCCTGGCTTCATTAAGTTGTGTTACTCTGTCCCTTCTCTGGGGTGTTGTGTCACCTATGGTGTCACCCTGTGAGTCCTGTGGCATTTCACAGCTATTCAGGCAAACCAGCACATCCCAAAGCTGCAGCACCCCTCAACTCTGTCTCTGTGCTGTTCCACCCTGTCCTCAGTCATCATTGTAAGGCCGTTTCATCACACTTCCACCATAAGACAGCCCTTCCAAGGCAGGTGCTAATGCACTCGAGGTGCCTCCAGCCTGCCAGAGCATCTCTCAGGGACACTGAGCAGACAGGATGGAATCCCTTTCTTTACAAAGTTCTAAAAAATTCTTTCAGTTGTACCCAGCTGTAAGTTTTACTGCTTCCCTTCTGTTTTGCTGTTTGGTCTTTACTCGGTTCAGACAATGAAGTGCTGCTCTTCCTGGCCTTAACTCAACTGTGCTGTGGGTTCTGTGTCTGTGAGACCTTCCTGGATTCCTTTGGGCTCCGTGTGGACACGTCTGCATGCATCCCATCGCAGGATGAAGAGCTCAGTCAGATTAATTCCTGGATCTCATCTGCTCCTGGACTGTCAAAGTGTTTGATTTAAAAAAAGCAGATGATGGCCAGCTGATAGAACCCCTTTGTTGTCATGTTTAGGCCAACCCCCACATGTTTGATCCTTGGGGTGGGAGGAAGGAGGTGAGGTGACTGAGAACAAGGAACCTGCTTCCTCTGTCCAGAACATATGACAGAAAGCCATAACTGATCCAGGGAAGTGGAAGGATAAAAAAGAGGGATCAATGTGACTGTCCAGAGCTGTGAGGTAGTAGCTGAGCTCCCTGAGCAATCCACCAAGGTCTGAACAACAGGAGCTCTTTCAGTGAGGGAGCAGCAACCCTTGCTGATTATCTGATCCCCTCCTACCCTTTGCAGTCAGCAAGAGAGAGAAGATCACTGTGACATTCCTGATCTCCTACTAAGCACTAGTAATTAGTGAGATGCAAAGGGCTCTATAAAATTTGCAAAGGGCACAAACTCAAAAACAAAACCGACATCCAGTCCTAGATAATGAAGATGTTTATGGTAAAATTGTGAAACCCAGTAATAATGATACAAATTAAATCTGGGATGAAATGCTTGCTCTGAATTTCAGGTCCTTTAATTTTCAGAATTTTCACATAAATATTTTCAGTCCTTTGCAGTCGCCATTATCTCAAATGCTCTGAGACGAAGCAGCTTTGATTCACATGTTATTTGAAAAACTTAATTAATGTACTGCAAAGGCATTGATTTTATTTTAAAGCTCTCAAAACATCATAAACTGTTCAAACTCTTAAGATATTTGGCTTCTCCTATAACTTTCATTACAACAACTTAAAAGACATTAATTTAACTTGTCCTGTATTGCCTCTCCCATATTTGCCTCGAGCTTGTTAAATCTGATTGCTGTTTCAGGGTCTTTTATTTACTAAAATATTCTTGCAGTGGAAGAATTGTGTGGTTGACTAGCTGGCTTCAGAATCCAGAGACTTTTGCCTCATTTTTCCTGAATCAAAATACAGCCCTCATCTCAGTGGCTTTGTGATTCTGAGGAGTGAACACCTTTGCACTACTCACTGTCCAGTCAGGACCTGATGTTTGATATTTACTGGGCCACTGTAAAATTAATTGGTGAGTCAAGGTCCACATTCCAGTTCTTGACAAGAATTTTACTGTAGTTTATGCTCTTTTCACCTGTCCCTGTGCTCTTCCTTCTTCTGTTTCTTATATATTGCTTTATTCTGTTCTGCCTCTTAGGTCTGTCACTGCTGACTGCTTCACCTTTGAAAATTTTGTTCCTGAGATTTTTCTCAAAGCTGAGCTACTTTACCTGTACACTCCCAGGTCGTTCCCTTTTACCACATGTCAATTCCAGCTCCTCTTCTGCTTTCATGACTCCATTCTTCTTTTTTTCTTCTTCTTCTCTCCTATGTAGTTGTTGCCTGCTTTCCTTCTTTGCCTGTCTTGCACCTGCCTTCTCCTGTGACACCAGTTGCTTTCTTTGCTTCACTCTTTTTTTCTCTTTATCCAGGTGACCTCTGCCTCCAGTTCAGTCTCCAGCCATCTGATGGGTGAAAATATGTCAAAGTTGGGTTGACCATCAGAATGAAAGTTTGTGACCTCCCAGATGAACTTCTTGACTCAATCTAACCTTAATTATAAACATCTTTAGGATTTTGTATGTTTGTGCACATTAATAACAAATGTGTTTCAATACTCAAAGTCTTAAAATAGTTTTGTATGTCTGGATTCTTTGTGTTCCCCATACAGCCTTGGAAATAACAATACTTATGTACGTTCTGTGCCTCAACAACACCCTTCCTTTCACACCTGAAATGTGCTATGCACAACAGAGCTCAACAGCATTTTGTGAGGATGTACAATTATGGAAAGGCATAAGCCAACTTTCCTGCATCAGACTGAAGGGTATGAATCAATGAGATTCTCGGCTCCCCTACGAAGAATGAAGCCTTGAGTGTGGCAAACAGGACAGTCTGAAGCAGGGTGTTTTTAAAAAACATTGACCTGTGGGGCAGAAAGTTTTTGGTAGGGCAGTTTTTGGTGTCAGTCCCATGTGTGGTGCTGGGTGGAGAGAGAAAGCAGCCAACAATTCTAAGATTGTTTCTTGGAGCATGTTTGCCGGGTGCGCTGCTGGAAATGTTTGTTCCAGATTTCCATGCCTTTGCTATTTGTTGTGTGGCTCAAGGAAAAGCCTTGAGTGGGCAGTGGAGAGCACCCTGTTCTACTGTGTGAGTGCCTCTGTGGCTGAACACACCCCAGGGGGAAGCAGGATTTGGTTATGGTTTCTTAGCTGATACTGACTTTTCATTTACAGTGTGCAAAAACCAGACTGTCTGGTCCTATCACTTAGGGTCAAGCCCGCTGTCAGAGGCAGGTCCCTAAGCAGTGTAAAGGAGGCACCTGAACTTGGACAGCAAGGCATTTCTTCTTACATTTGTGGTCTTGCACCCACTGACAGGTAAACAGCATCTTTGCTGTTCAGTAAGTTAGAAAAGAGAAACAAAGAGACCCCCTCCCCAAACATGCAACAATCAGATGTAGTTTACTTTTTTTCTCTTTTCCTTTATTTTTTGCCCCACAAAAGGCTTTTGCAGGTGCTTACTGGTTCTTAAACCTGCTTTAACTATTTGTGGAACATAAAATAAACATTCGATTTAGTG